GTCTTTTTTTTTATTTTTAAATGTGTATTGAAAATCATATTAAGCATTATTTCGGCCGCCATTTTATTAATTCAAACACGGTGGGTTCGCGAGCGGGCCGATTACGGCCGAAGTTACAGGGCGCAAACTTTGATCCATTGGCGGGAAAGCGCCAAAATTAAGCTACATGTGTGCTTTCCGCGAGGTAAAATGAATTCCTCGCAGGGCAAGGCGATGTTGTCCCAGTGATCCGTGGTTTGTTGCTGTCTTCTTCCCCTTCCTTGCTATCGCTGAATTTTAAATCGCCATTCTCGCTCCAGCGGAGTTTCGGTGGTGAATTGTTCAGGGCGAGGATTTCCAGCAATAACTTGTTGGCACACTCAAGCACACTCAATACAAGTAAAAACTCTTGTGTTAATCCCTTGCTCTTTATTTTCCAGAGGATAGAGCATTTGAAGTCAAACGGTGGGAGAAAAGTACATTTATGTGGAAAATAGAAAGATTTTTTTATGATCAGCCACAGATGTTCCTTGAGCCATCGGGAATATCTGACAGCGGTGCTTTCAGTCAAAGTACGTTTTCTGAACTGCAGAGCGAAGAAGATAAAGGTAATTACCGATTTGTTGTTGTTGTTGTTGTTGTTGTTGTTGTTGTTGTTGTTGCTGTTGTTGTTGTTGCTAGTTTAAACTACACATACTCATGTATATCGCCGTGGCGGAGTTGTATGACACTCTGATGATTAGCCTGCGCAGCAAGCGTTTCCGCGAGGTTTAGGAGCAAAGAACGAGCAACGAGAGTCAAAGACCGCTGTTTCATTTCTCGCGCGGCCAAAACCGCTCTTTCTTTGCTCCGAAACCAAATGGAAACGCTTGCTACGCAGGCTATCTGATGATAATACGTGCAGCATGTCTTTATGCCGGAACTGAGAAGCCAGGCAAATGAAATATTAATTAAGTTTGAGCTTTTCTAACAATCCTGTCAACAACACTACGAGATTAATTAATCAAATTCAGCTAACTAGAATTAAGCTTAGTGACAGTTTCTGATTCGGTCTGAAGAAGCAAAATAAATTACCTTAGTTTGGTTCATGTTTCATAGTTTTTAAGGACTGAAGACTGGTTTCAGTTCGGGTCCGAGTCTAGCCTGAGAAAACAGCCGACATTTCACGACACCACCACTGGTTTCGCCGCGAAAAGACATCTGAGAAACAAGTGCAGAAATTCCATACTGATGACGTGTCACCATCCAATACTGGGTAGTGCTTCTGATTGGTCGTACCGCTTGGGATTTGGGAAGTTTGCTTCAACCAATCAGGAACACTACCCAGATCTAAGTAGTGGCGGGTCATCAGTATGCCTGTGGTGGCGTCGCGAAGTGTCGGCTGTTTTCACAGCGGGCTATACCGAGGCCGGTAGTTCAGGCCGTTGAGTGCACTGACTAGTTTGCAAGAGAACTCGGTGTTTGTTTTCCTGCAACGACCGGCGGTCTTATAAATTCTTGATAAGTGAAATTCTTGTATTCTCTACCCGGATTCTCTGGAGAAGCCAAAACTGATTTATATACCTCATCATCTCATGAGATGATTTCGAAACCCATAAGGCTGACGGCTTCCGGCTTTAGTTTGTCGGTAACCCTCGTTTCATGACACAGCCAAAAAGAATCGAAAACTTTCAACGCAAATACTTTCCGCGAGTCAAAAACAACTACAGCCATTTTCAAGTCGAAAGCACGTGTATAATATAGAAAACTTTGAATATAAATTTGTTCTTATGACCGACTGGCATACTTCAAACAGTCAAAGTAATCCTTTTTGCAACCTCTCCAGTATATTGTGTATCTTTCTCACAACAGCGACAATTTTATACTTTACTGCCACTTCCATGAGGTAAATCTTTGTTTGCCTCCAGATTTGGGGGGTTCAGGTGACCAGCCCCCAGCCAGGATTCTTTCAAGCAAGGGAGAGAACCCTGAAAACGATGTTGCCGTTATCCTCGTCGGGAGGTTGTCAGGAGGAATCGGGAGGAAGCTCCCGGCCAGCGAAATCCAACATGGCGTCGCCCCTTGACTAACCATTCTGTGAGAGAAATAAAAGCCACTATATTTTTTGTTTCTATCATCTAAAACGGCACACAAATGATTGGAAGGGACGTATTTAACTTACACAGTCGATAAAATGATCTTCAAAGACCAAGGAAGATTTTGTCGCGTAGTTCAGTTTGGGACTTTTTCCCGCCAAAAGGGTCTTTTTGTTCCATTTTTTGACAGGCTAAGGACTGGCTGTAGCATTCGGTTTCAAGGCTCCTCCGCTCAATAGCATAGCGCTAGGGTGATCTGGGGACGTGGCTGATTTTGGCCTGGATTGGGTATAGTGAGTTAAGAGCTTCTTCCCGGGTCCCAGGTGCAGAATAGGAAAGTGCCTCTATTCCGCAAAGCGCCCGAAAGCATTTATCTCCTGACAGATCCCCCAACATTTTTTTAGCTTTGCCGTAATTTTGGCTACGTAGATTACTCTGAAATATTACATTCCATCACCTTAAGACTTCACTGAGTTGAACTTGAAAAAGCTATTATTTATCCCAAGAAAAGCCAGACTTACAGGAACCGTATAACTATCGGAACAATTATGCAAGCCGGCGGTTTTATTGTTTTCAGTTCTCGTGCTAAACTTTTTTATTAATTTTTAGTTCATGCATGGGTTATATGTAACGCTGAAACAACTAACAATGTCTTTAGATATTTTAAGCAATTTATATTCTTATTTACTTATTTTTGCCGGATCCATGGTGGTCAGGACGATCCGTGCCTCCACCCCAACTCTTAATGGAGTCATCACGTAATATACTTTTCTATTTTACGGATTGACTCAGTGCTTTAAAAATGAAAATGCTACCTCTTAATCATCAAATACCACTTGTATAATCAAATTTGCCTTTAACAAACTTTGCCAGGCCGGTGAAACATGTGAACGGTGAATGAAGTCAGAAGTTTGGACCCCCGTATAAAAAAAGTCCTAGATCGGCCCCTACTAATTGAGACGGTTACTTATTTACACAGAAAGTGACAAGCCTGTTGGAAGCGAAATGAGAGATGAAGGATTGGAAGGGGAGGTGAAAAGTCGGAGACGAAAAGAGGAACAAGCCGCTAAAGCTGAAAAGCTTGGAATTCAGCTCAAGTTTAACAGTGGTGACTATCTCCAGGCTATTGAATGTCTCCAAAAGGCTTTAACGATTAGACAAGAAATAAGGGACAGAAAAGGAGAGGTTTCGGCTCGTGTAAACCTTGGATATGTGTATTCTCTTTCTGGTGACTACGTTATAGCCAGAAAGTACATTGATAGTGCACTTGAAATAACAAAAGAAATTGGGGACAAACAAGGAGAAGCTAAGGCCTACGAAAAGCTAGGAATATTGCATGATTTTCTTGGTGACTATCAGAGGGCTGTGGAGTATCACAAAAGAGCACTTAGACTTAGCCAAGAAACTGGGAACAAACAAGGGGAAGCTGCAGCTAATGGAAACTTAGGAAATGCGTACAATTCTCTTTGTGACTATCAAAAGGCTGTGGAGTATCACGAGAGAGCACTTAGACTTAACCAAGAAACTGGGAACAAACAAGGGAAAGCTGCAGCTTATGTAAACTTAGGAAATGCGTACCAGTTTCTTGGTGACTATCAAAGGGCTGTGGGCTATCATGAGAGAGGACTTAAACTTAACCGAGAAACTGGGAACAAGCAATGGGAAGCTGTATCTTATAGAAACTTAGGAACTGTGTACCATTTTCTTGGTGACTATCAAAAGGCTGTGGAGTATCACGAGAGAGCACTTAGACTTAACCAAGAAACTGGGAACAAACAAGGGGAAGCTGCAGCTTATGTAAACTTAGGAAATGCGTACCATTCTCTTTGTGACTATCAAAAGGCTGTGGAGTATCACGAGAGAGCACTTAGACTTAACCAAGAAACTGGGAAAAAACAAGGGGAAGCTGCAGCTTATGGAAACTTAGGAAATGCGTACCATTCTCTTTGTGACTATCAAAAGGCTGTGGAGTATCACGAGAGAGCACTTAGACTTAACCAAGAAACTGGGAACAAACAAGGGGAAGCTGCAGCTTATGTAAACTTAGGAAATGCGTACTATTTTCTTGGTGACTATCAAAGGGCTGTGGGCTATCATGAGAGAGGACTTAAACTTAACCGAGAAACTGGGAACAAACAATGGGAAGCTGTATCTTATAGAAACTTAGGAACTGCGTACCATTCTCTTGGTGACTATCAAAAGGCTGTGGAGTGTCACGAGAGAGCACTTAGACTTAACCAAGAAACTGGGAACAAACAAGAGGAAGCTGCAGCTTATGAAAACTTAGGAACTGCGTACAATTCTCTTGGTGACTATCAAAGGGCTGTGGGCTTTCATGAGAGAGGACTTAAACTTGCCCAAGAAACTGGGAACAAACAATGGGAAGCTGTATCTTATAGAAACTTAGGAACTGCGTACCATTCTCTTGGTGACTATCAAAAGACTGTGGAGTGTCACGAGAGAGCACTTAGACTTAACCAAGAAACTGGGAACAAACAAGAGGAAGCTCAAGCTTATGAAAACTTAGGAACTGCGTACAATTCTCTTGGTGACTATCAAAGGGCTGTGGGCTTTCATGAGAGAGGACTTAAACTTGCCCAAGAAACTGGGAACAAACAATGGGAAGCTGTATCTTATAGAAACTTAGGAACTGTGTACCATTCTCTTGGTGACTATAAAAGGGCTGTGGAGTATCATGAGAGAGCACTTAGACTTAACCAAGAAACTGGGAACAAACAAGGGGAAGCTGCAGCTTATGTAAACTTAGGAAATGCGTACCATTTTCTTGGTGACGATCAAAGGGTTGTGGAGTATCACGAGAGAGCACTTAGACTTAACCAAGAAACTGGGAACAAACAAGGGGAAGCTGCAGCTTATGGAAACTTAGGAACTGCGTACCATTTTCTTGGTGACTATCAAAGGGCTGTGGAGTATCATGAGAGAGGACTTAAACTTAACCAAGAAACTAGGAACAAAAAAGGGGAAGCTGTATCTTATAGAAACTTAGGAACTGCGTACCATTCTCTTGGTGACTATAAAAGGGCTGTGGAGTATCATGAGAGAGCACTTAGACTTAACCAAGAAACTGGGAACAAACAAGGGGAAGCTGCAGCTTATGTAAACTTAGGAACTGCGTACCATTTTCTTGGTGACTATCAAAGGGTTGTGGAGTATCACGAGAGAGCACTTAGACTTAACCAAGAAACTGGGAACAAACAAGGGGACGCTGCAGCTTATGGAAACTTAGGAATTGCGTACCATTTTCTTGGTGACTATCAAAGGGCTGTGGAGTATCATGAGAGAGGACTGAAACTTAACCAAGAAACTGGGAACAAACAATACGAAGCTGTATCTTATAGAAACTTAGGAAATGAGTACCATTCTTTTGGTGACTATCAAAGGGCTGTGGAGTATCATGAGAGAGCACTTAAACTTAACCAAGAAACTGGGAACAAACAAGGGGAAGCTGCAGCTTATGTAAACTTAGGAAAAGCGTACCAGTTTCTTGGTGACTATCAAAGGGCTGTGGAGTATCTTGAGAGAGCACTTAGACTTAACCAAGAAACTGAGAACAAACGAAGGGAAGCTTTAGTTTATGGAGAATTAGGACTTACGTACCATGCCCTTGGTCACTATCAAAGGGCTGTTGAGTATCATGAGAGAGCACTTAAATTTGGAAAAGAAACTGGGAACAAACGCGTAAAAGCTCTAGCCTATGAAAACCTAGGAACATCGTACATAAAGCTAGGTGACTATCAAAGGGCTGAGGACTATCTAGAGAGGGCGCGTAAAATTCGGAAAGAAACGGAGACATAATCCATGATAATATGGGGAAGATGCCACTAAAATACTTAAGGTACAATCCATGGTAAAAATCGATAACTTTTTGAAATTTTCAACTTTTAGATGATTAAAATTGAAATTGAGAACCTTCTTTTAAATCAATTCCAGAAAGAAATGTTTTTTCTTCGGAGACGTATGAAGCGCAAAAGATTCTTCGATAAAAGTGATTGTTGACAAGTTCTGCCACACATGTCACAACACCTACAGTTAAATAATAATCACGCAATTCAGTGCTATTTCTAGAAATATAGTAGTTTACAGCGTCGTTTCTTTGTTTAATTGCTTGTGAATGCTTCCTAAAAATTAAAGGGGAAAAGATCTTGTTTGTCTACTTTGGTTTTGTTTCCACATCAACACGAAAAATGACTGTTCTTCCGCCTCCAACTGGTTACAAGACCACAAAGATAGCTTTTCGTTTCGGCAGTATCTTCATTATTAACAGAAAGTACGTATCCTTTGTGTATATAAAGAGAAATCAGATGTTAAATTTACTGAGCTGTCTGGATTTCGTCTTCGTGTTTCGCGTTTTTAATTTCGTTTCGTGTCCAAGCCGCCACATGCGGTGGAAACTTTTTCCTGATGTGCCAAAAGACTACAGTCGACTCCCGATAACTCGAACCTTCAAGGGAAATCGAAAAAAAAAAGGTTCGAGTTATCTGGAGTTCGAAGAAAATAGCCGAGAGTAAGGTAAAAAACAGTTTTTACTGCACAGTGAACATTTTAATCACATTTAATTGTAGAAATGTCAAGTGAAAGTGAAAAGATACTTCTAGATTATAAATCAGAACGTAACGTGTAACGTAACAAAAGATCGCCTAAATAGAGCATGCCTTTTACTTTTTTGAGAAGAAAAGGTGCTTCACGTTAGCCTGTGACAATCAACATCAGCTTCCACTTGTAAACTATACTCCTACAACGCGTCAATAGGAAATCCAAAATTTCGGACGCCAGTATACGGCTTTTTTCCCGACTTTTTTAGGGCCCAAAACATGGTTCGAGTTATCGAGGGTAGAATTATATAGAAAATGACCTGAGGAGAAACGAAAATTGGTTCGAGTTAGCGGGAGTTCGAGTTATCGAGGGTTCGAGTTACCGAGGGTAAAATTACAGTGAATGTATGACGGAAAACCAGGGGAAATCGATTTTGGTTCGAGTTAGCGCGAGGTTCGAGTTATCGGGGGTCGACTGTATTGTTGTTCCTAATTCTTTCGGGTACGCATCAACATTTTGAAACAGCTTTGGTGTTATAATCTGTTACAATCTTGTTACAGGCAAGATGCCGCAAAAATTATATTTTCCTTGTTTTCTCGAAATAAAAATCGGGCCAAGTTGAGAATCGGCAACCCGTGAACCAAATTGACTGAAATTTGGCCAACTTACGACCAGATAGTTATTCGAGAAAACCCTTTCTACCAATTTTGATTTCTTTCACCGTTTTTGAGTTATAGTATTTTTTTCCACAGTTATGCTTTTGACTTGTTATCCCTAACGTCATCTGCTTATTACAAAAGACCAAACACACTTGCCAAAAATCTGAGCCCCGTTTTTTAGTCAGACGTGTCAAGAAGCGAATGCGATCTTATCGGTTTCTTGCGTTTATCGTTTTGGACTTAGCCTGATTCTCAGACGTCCGAGGTCGTTCTCAACCCGGACTTAAATTTACAAAGATATATACTTTTGCGAAAAGCTTGTCATTTCTGAAACTCGTTAGTATTTTGGAATTTTTTAAAGAAATTGGCCGTAATCTGCAACTATTAAGCTTTTAGAAAATGTACGGTTCGTAAGGGTAATTATTTTAGCACTATCCGCGCGAATTAAGACGGTACTTGATACCTTAAATAGAGAGGAAATTCTCCTGCTTCTATCGTGTAGACGACTAGAACGGGAATTGAAGTTCGTAAGAAAAGAGTTCAAGATTCCTTTCAGGTGTTCACGTTCTTGAATTTGGTTTTGCTGAGGAAGCCAAGTACCCATAAAAAGCTGTATAGCACTCAAACCGCATTGACTGAATATTGTTTAGGACTCTGCCAGGCTTCCGCTTAATCTCGTACCCAGATTTGCTTTCGTCGTAGCCGAAGGCGGGGGAGTGGCGTCAAAGTTACTGTACATGTTATGAACGGTTAGCATTAGATAACATCGAGTGAAGCCAGATTGGACACCTTATGAATTTTACAGTGGAATTTTTCTATTTCACTTTTATATTACACAGTAAAGTTGGACTTGAGTTGTTCTTCATGTAATTTTACTGAAAGAAACAATCTGACTTCAGCCGCATGCTAACCACTGTGTAATATAAAAGTGAAATACAAAAACTCCACTCTGATGCTTTGAACCCGGGTCACTTGCTTTATAGCCTACATCCATATCCACTACACCATCGAGGACTAGCTGCTTAATCCAGTAATTTTTAAAATATACATGTTCTTATATATGCCGTACCCTATTACAATATTCGATAGCTAACCGTTTTCAGTTCAGTGCTTAACCCTAATCACTACAGATCAGTGCTTAACTCTTCAATGTGTTCTCTCCACAACTGGCGGTCTGTAGTTTTGGTTTCTTCATTTATTCTAGCTTCATTCTACATTCCAATCTCGTTCCATTATAAAAAAAAAAGCGTTGTGTAAAATTCATAAGGTGTCCAATCTGGCTTCACTCGATGTTATCTAATGCTAACCTTACACAGTAAAGTTGGACTTAAGTTGTTCTTCATGTAATTTTACTGAAAGAAACAATCTGACTTCAGCCGATGTTACCTAATACTAACCGTTATGAACATGTTTTGGCTTGTGCAAATCATTTACATTTGATTTTTGCGAGGTGTTCTTATTCAAATCAGTTCATTCGTTGAATAAGTAGTTTTCCTCTCAATATGGATTCTAAAACCTTTTTATGTTTTATTAAATGCCTTTTTTAAACTTTCTCTCGGTATTAAAGAAAAGCAACTTTGGCAACTATAATATAAGGAGAAAACAAAATTATTTCGCGTAGAATAATAATTAAATTGAATTAAAAAGTTACTGCTAATGATTCTGGATTTGACTTCAGATATTTGGAATTACAAAATTTAAGCTTTAAGTTTAAGTATACGGCAAACGTCAGATTCAAGTTGACAATTTTTAAAATAGAAAATGAGCAGATAAAAACAGCTCAAAACTATTCTTATCACACGCTACTTTCGAAATAAATAGAGAATGCCAATTTTCAGCACTACCATCAATCAGTTCCGGACTGCCAATTCTCTTATTGCCCTTCGTGGCTTGTAACCAATGTGGCTACAGATCGGTTTAGAATCAGATTGAGGAATACATGCACTGACAATTCCATTTATAGAGGGGAGCGTAGGTTTTGAAGTTATTTTGATGTAGGGGTGCTATGTATGGTAACCATATATCTGTCCCTGTCCATTGTAATGGAGTCTATAGTAAGTGTAATATAGTTCCGAATGTTTTTTTTTAATGAGAACCATGAAAAGAAAATCAAAAAAATCACAGATACCTTATACGAGCAAAACAAATGACATCTTAACATAAAATATCACGTGACTTTATTGTTGTTGCCGCGCTTTTGATTTCCAGAAACGCTGTAACAGCCACCTTGAACTTTATTTATTATTTACATTGTTAGCGTTGACTGTTCAGACAGGTTGGTATAGCAATCTCGGAATAAGATATATAAATACTGTACACTGTTGTTTACATACTTTTGTACATAAACGGACCCACTATAACATTATAGATAAGAAGTGTCCAAAGTTCCCAGTTTGAAGAAGGGCGCCGGTTATTCAAATAAGTCTAACTTAGACCGCGGTTTGAAGCAACAAAAGGACCTCCGGATACAAAGAAATTATATTACGTACATTTACAGCCAGTACTATATGCCTTCTTAACTTGCTTCACAGTCAAGGAACTCCCCTAATGCAAACACCTTAGTGTCCCTAACTAGGACTTTACGATTCGACAACGGTGACGTCCATAAAAACGTCGTTGAAAAATAGACTTCGCTTCCTTTCAAACTTTTTCGCAATTATCCCAGATTATCCTGCTACTTAAAATGAGGGAACTTGGGTTGGAGCTGAAGAGAGGGGACCGTGCCCGAGTTCAGAAAGACATGGTAGAATTTATCGCATTGCCGTTCCCGTTCTCAAGTAAAACTAAAATTTTGTCATTTCACGTCATAGTTGTGTAGGGACAGTAAAGAAATGTACAAAAAAACGCGATGCACGTGCAGAATTGTTTTGCTCAAATTCTAATGCTTTTTTAGACGTTCCCGTTGCCGTCGCCGTCGTAGTTTCGTAAGGTCGTTATTGTCCCTATTTACGGCGTGAATCCAACCAACAAGACAAAACAATTGACAAACACCGATGTAAATTTTCAATTGTATGTAAATGTCCTATAGTAAATAGCGCTCATTGTCCGTTGCAAGGGGGGTCAAAGAAATAAAACTGTGATGTCGAGTCGGTATTGAAAAGAGATTAGTTATTTTTTATTCAATGAAAATAGCGTAGAACGCTAGTTTGTTAAATACCGGCTAAACTCTGCTCTCATTAATGACCAGCTAAGGTTTTCATCATTTGAAAGGATTAGCTGGCCAGACTGGCCCCTTTGTATCTAGAATATAATGTATATCCTAATTTTGTTCGAAAGAGCGGATCAAGATGTGCAGAGTTGCCATTTGACCGCTCTGTTACAGTCGGGGTTCAGCGAAGAGTATTACCCCTTTAAGACTTAGTAGCCCATGAAACGGCGGTCACACAACACTCGTAAAGCCAACTAAAAAATCGATCTATAATGGTTAATGAAAAATGTTAAATAACAGTGCAGGAGAAAGTTTTGTGGAATAAATAAAGCTTGATATAATATCAGGATTGCAAAAAGTCCGAACTTATTTCAGTCCAGGCTTCGTTAGAGACCTCGCGGTTAACGTTAACGGACACATTTTCTTCACCTTTCTTTGGAGATGCATCTTCAGTCTGATCTAAATTCTTATCCTCCATATGACTTGGCATGGTTACCAATGTATCCATGGTAACTGCACTGAAAGGACGATTTGCCAGTAGTGCCTCCGAAGCGCCTAACAAACAGTTAGAGTCGCTGGCCACACTTGAGCCCACAGTAAGTGGATCATCAGAACTCGAGACTCGACTATTTTCTTCACTTTCACACGTATAACTGCTCAGCCCACCAAGGATGAGAGACAACGCCTGCCGAGTGTCCTCGTTATTGACAATGGGCTCCAGTACTTTTTCAACATCTGCCTCACCTTCACCAAAGCCGTCATCGCTGTTACTTTCACCTTCACTACTGTTTGCTGTAACTTGATTGGTCGATGGCTTACACCCGTCTAGGTTACTACAGTCGTTCCCCGCCTGATCCCCTGTTATATCACCAAGCTGGACACGGGAAGCTTCACTGTCGTCTATCTCACCCACACTGTCACTATCGCTCTCCTCGCTGGTGCTGTCCAGGTAGCCTGGTATGTGTCGTGAAGGGGAGGGGAGGGGAGAATCCATGACTTCCGCTCCGTAAAAAATGTAACGGCTTGGAGGAATGAAGAGAAATCGAGGTGAACCTAGAATCGACAAGAAAAGTAAGTTCTTCATTAAGTATTCGGTGTCTTTTTCCACTGTTTTTTTCCTTCTTTACAACGAAAGAATTTTCCGTTAGCGTTAAAACATCTACCAATTAGGTCTATAACCACACTATGTTACACTGGAAAACTGCTCTTCTCTAATTTCACTTTATTGACAAGTATATGAACTTGCATTGAAAAAGATCTATTGCGGCAGATCTAATGCAGATAGTCTGCAAGAATTTTATATCGACGATGATGACTGATATGACTGATGACTGATATATTTATTCCTGACACTGAAGGGCAAGAATTAAGACTACAATAAAGATGACACGAATGTAACCAGAAAAACACAGAAAAAAATCATACACGCGTATAATAATTATCTCTGTTTTACTTTTGACAGGTTGAGAGAAACTTGGGAGAATTTATCCCATCACGAGTCAGAGTAATTCAAATTACTCTTCAATGCAAAATATTTTTTTATGGGATATGACACTACTAAATTTGCAAATTTACCAACATGTCAGCAGCTTGATCATACCTTCTTCATGCGGTATGCTGTTGTCGAATGAACACTCTTTTCCGTGATCACTGGCCGAGGCTCTCGGCTGGTCCCGGTACGAGTCGTCCCTAGTCTCTTCATACCCACTGCTCTCACCCACAGTCACGTGATTATCCGTGGTGTTTGGTGTGACATCTTCACTCCTCTGCTTCACGTTGCTTGATGGACTCTTCTCATTGTTCGTTCCACCTGCAGTCGTCTGAAAAGGAAAAGGGTGCATTATGACCTCACAGTCAGTATTACAAGATTTTTACGCACTTGCTGTACACTGTAGATCTCAAATTCAAGATGCTGTGAACTTTCAAATAGCCTACGTAAGTTCGGTCGTACTCAGCATGTACCTGTTCACTGCGTTGTATTTCTTCAAAATTAACCCCTTGATACATCTCTCCCGTCGTGTTTTCTTCGTTACGCGACAAAGGCCTTGTCTCCACGTCAGGAATTTCAACTCCTTCCAGTAGATTATTCCATGCTCCATCTAACCTTTGGCACAACTCAGTAATGATGACGTCACAGTCACCTAGCAACTCAACATCAAATGTCATATGCCTGAGAGGTTCCCTGTTGATAAGAATCTGAGGCACCTCTGGAGGTAGGTGACCTGTGGTGAACCAAAAAAAGGTTCCTGTTAATATATGCCAAGGTAGTCTTAACAGTAGGCAAAGTGATGCTGTTACTAATGAGGGCATTGGGGCCCAGTTCTCTAAGGTCCAGGTAATAGGCCATTTCCGAGTTCCAAAAACCCTCCCTTTCAAAATGAGGCTAGGTGCACAACCTTTCTTGTGAAAATGAGTTTTATTTGCATGAGAATGAAAAATGATTTCTATATCAAAGGCTAAGCACCTACCGTCGTTTTGAAACAGAGGCCCGGGGGAACTCGGATATGGCCTATAGTCCATTTTCGAGTTCGTTATGACTGCTGAATTAAAGAAGTGAAGACGCATTTTTTACAGCCTTAGCTTCAATCTGAAGTAATATATTCACAAATTCCAACGAGAAAAAGACCTGTTTATTAGCCTGTCTATTGTGTATATTCAAATTTCAAACACTTACTTGCCCGAATTTCTGAATATTTTACTTTAAGTCGAGCCTAACCCTGTATGAATGTGCCCTTAATGTTTATATTCAGCGGTAATTTTTAATTCGAAACTGGACTATTACCAGGTGCTGAAGGTTAGTCTGCTGTGTTGCATTCAATATGTCCACCAGCTTTTTTTAATTCATAGAAAACAAAAGGGAAATGAGACCCAAAGAACTTCCTAGCTGTTCAATGCCCCGCCTAATAATATTATTGCAAACCGTAAAATTCCGAAAATAAGCCCCTGGGCTTATAGTTTTCAAAGGCCCTTTTTGAGGGGCTTATTTTTGGAGGGGCTTATCTACGGAGGGAAATTTGCATTTCAAAATTGATTGGGCTAGCCTCATAGTTGGAAGTAAATTTACCGTTTTTGCTTTGTTTTACTTTGTATTTGAGGGCAATTTCCAAGTACAAGCCCCCCCGGGGGGGGGGGGGGGCCTTATATTTGGACGGGTGATTTAACGGAGGGTTTTTGAATTACGAGTTTGGGGGGCTTATATTTGGAGGGGCTTATACATGGATGGGCTTAAAAAAAAAAAAGGTTAAAGGTTAAAGGCATGTTTATAGTGGAAATTGCACTTAGCTTGTCCAGCTAATTTACAGGCACTCCACTCAAATATTTAGAAACAAATAATTCAAATACAACATAACAGGATTAAAAACCCCAACTGGCAGAAGGCAACCAGTTGGCTATTTACAAGCGTGGCCAAGAAGTCATTCAATAAAACCATCAGTAAACAAAACAAAATGGACTGGTCAGGGGGTACTAGATCTGCCATTCTTGAGATTTTCACTTTTTAATATGGTTTAATTAGGCCCTAGTAATGTAAGGTTAATAAAATGCCACGTGACATGTAGAAAATACATGGCATTAAGCAAGCAGTGTGCTAACTCACAATTTACTAGAATACAACTGACTTGTTGAACGGTAAAAACGACATTTTAATTGCATACATACTAGGTATCAAAGCAACAGGTCTGACTTTCAAGGAAGATCCAATGACTATCAGTAAATCAGCCTAAACAAACAGGAAAGTGATGTGTTTGGTTATATCTAAGGTACAATGCCTGTTACATGCGATAAAGTGATTATTTGTTGTTTATAGAAGATCCCCCTTTCCCAATTCACCCTAGTCTCCTTGAATTCACCAATATGCAAAGACTAGTCAGGAGCAAGAGTTCAGTAACCATCTGTTTAAAGAACAACAAGAGCAATGTCATGGCCTACATGTAGTTACCAAGATCAACTTGACTGCTCTATTTACAGTAAACTCTATGTCAGAGTTAACCAGGTAATGAATGACTATGAGTAGAAAGCAAAAGGAAAATAAGACATTATTTGAACTACAACATTTTTAGGTATGAATTTCGATTTTTTTTTTATTAAAAATCTTTCACTCTTAAGTTGTTGCGTGCAGCTTTTCCATGAGCGTAGGTTTTCAGTCTAGTGTTTTGCATTGTCTACTCTAGCATCTTTCACATAAATTTATCAAGAAAAAAGAAGTCTATTAAGCTTTCAGAAAGCATTTCAGTACAGTAAGTTATGCACCATTAAGTAATAACATTTCATTCACGTACCTTGTCAGAATCTGCTTCTAGGTTATGATAAAACTCTGGAGGAAGACTTTCACCAAAGAAAACAATATCTGTCATAATAAAGATTCACCAGGTTACATAAAACAGAAATCAAATTTTCAAGAACGACTATAGCTCTTTTACATGCTGTACAATCATTTAATGTAAACGCCTTAGAAGAGTAAGTACTCACATAAGGAAGTCATTTTATGGGTAGTCCACTGCACTAGTAATTTACAACATACGGTTAACAGTTATATTCTCTTTTTCGGGGTGTGTCAGAAGCCAATTATCTTAAAACTGGCTTGAAATGTATGTGAAGTTTAATTGTAAGGAATAAACTGAAACAAATGTCAAAATACTGAGAGGATCCTGCTGAGCACTTCCTTTTACTGTAGTAAATAACTTCCCTACCTTATCTAATCTTTCACAAGCTGAGTAGTGCTTAAAAGATCTACACAATTGATATGTTGTATTCTGTAATTGCTCCTTAAAGGCTTAACTACAGAACGCAGGGCAAAGTTTCTGGGTATATTCATCACGGAGGCTCAGCAGCTCGATAGTCCCTACAAACGAGTCACCAAGCTGTCGAGCCACTAAACTACAACCTCAACTGAAGAGCCACTGAGCCACTGAGCCACTAAAATATATACCTTTCTCGATCTTTAAGAAGTTGGCCCCGACTGCGGGCAATATTGAGCCACCAAGCCACGAAAACATATACTTAATTTACTTGCTCTTAAAATTTTATACTTTTACATCTTTTTTTAAAATTCAGCCCTATACATATAAGTCCTATATCTTTTTTGTTTTTTAAACACTTGTCTCGACTAGCGAGCCACTGAGCCACTACTGTTTAAGACCCATGGCCCTGTATTTTGTAGTTGTTACCATTCAAGGAAGTCATGATTTAAGGAATATGAATTTCCTCTCTTAATTTGGCTTAAAATAATTTCTTGATATCATCAACATTTATATAGGTCATGGATTTAAGTCTTCACTTTTGAAAGAACAGGTAACTTGGATTTTTAAGCAATGATCCCTGTGATCTCACCCTTAAACACCACTACCCTAAACTGGGCACTCATATTGTATAGTAAGGTTGGTCAACAACTGCTCTATGCAAACAAAAATGATAAATAAAATATCAGGATTTACCAGGTTTCATAATGGCAAAACAGCTCCCATCTTGTGGGCATTTTGGGCAAAGTGGAATGACCTGAAAATATTGAACAAACTCTAGTAGTTTAGGACTGGAAGACTGACATAATGAGATGGAGAATTAGTATTTATAATAGGTCAAAGTTATCATTTCAAAACAGGGGGGAAATGATTTCAGTTCAAGTTAGGCCACAATGCATGCAAAATATCTTGTCTAATGCAGGTGTTAGAGGCGGTTTGCCACTTTTTCAGTGTTGTTCTCTTGATCTGGTACCCTCAACAACCTGACTACAGAACCGAGAACTTGATGATTTTCTAGTAATCCCCAATATTATTTTTCAGCAGCCATACTTTCAGAACTCTGTTTGCTTGTGGAAAATTTGCTTGTTTACAGTTGACACTCATTTCCACGCCAAGCTGATTGACCAAAATCTGACAGCTCAGATGATGGGGAGCCACAGGGGAGCCACTGGAGACAGAATTCAAATTTCTGAGATGTGTCTGCCAGCTCTCTTTCATTTTTGCCCCACTGCCAGAGTGCACCAGAGAGATTGCTATAACAGGCTATCTTTTTAGGGTTATGTATATATTTTTTTCAACATCCCCAGTGCTTAAGTTGGTGAACTCTTAAAAGTGTACAAACCTGTTGGAAAATTTCTTCCCTTATGACTTCACAAGACACTTGGTGTTTACAGTTTGTACAGGATGCTGTAGAAAAAGACCCTAAGAAGGAAAAATAAAACACAGTTTTGAAAAGAGATCACTGAAGAGACACTTTTCTAGTGTTCTCAAAAGTTCCAGCCTGATTACAATTACAGGACATGAACCTCCTGTAACCGTAAGCCACCACCCAAAATGCAAAGACTGAGTAGTTGCTTACAGGAGGTGGTTGTTTACAAGAATCGAACCCCAGGAGGTCTCTTCCAAGAAGAGGTCCAGGCACATTTACTTTATGGAAGATAATTTATTGCATTCAATTTTTAAGTTAGGATATGTGTAGTTCCATGTTGTCACTAAAGTATTTCATATAATCATTCTAAGTAACGTAGTTTAATAGAGATCAGAGAATGTATAAAGTGGTCGCTTACAAGAGGTTAAAAACAATGGAAAATCATAAACCATCAGGCCCAAAAAGTGGTCGCAGTCGCTTACAGGAGGTGGTCGTTTACAAGAGGTTCCAAATGTAAGGCTTTGACTGAGAAAATTTTGCCGTTTTGGATTGGTGGTAACTTATGGGAGGTGGTCGTTTACAAGAGGTGGTCGCACATGGAGGTTCGACTGTACATGTATTTCAGTGATACACTAAACATTGTTTGTAATACATCTTTACTTCTATATTTTATATCTAAAACTAACCATGACATTGGATTACTCTTGCTATGCCTGCTATTTGTTCCAGTGTGTCAATATTCTGTGAATAGTTCTTCAAAAGCTGACCATTTGATTCCAGCTGCTTTATGAATCGATGACCCAGTGAGGGAGCAAACTGTCCAGGATAGATTTCCTATTATAAAAACAACAGTCATGATAAACATTACCGGCCAAACTCTAAGAAATTTAACAACTAAAATTCACCGAGATGCCAACGCATGGAAATCTAAAATATAAATCTCTGATAGTGTCTCTTTTTCAGTAGCCCCAAACATCAAGCCCTGCCACCTTACAAAAAATGAACTTGTCAGTGACGTAATGGGAGCAAATGTTGCCACAGAGAGCATACTATGATCAAAAAAGTTTAAAATTTTCGCGAAAATGGGCTGTAGTCCAAAGTACACTCATGGTGGTGTACGCTGTATGGTGACTCATACAGGAAACCAGGAGATGTGAATGGTATCCAGGATACTTCAGGAGTTGGCATTATTATATATACAACATGTACATGTATTTTTCACTAACATCAAAGAATTTCTTTACCTTAGCAAACTTAAAGAATGGTCTTGGATTCTGATAGAAGTACTCAATGTCAAACATAGCTTGAGGGTCTGGAAGATCTGGGTACTCAACACTTAGCTTAGCATAAATTCCATCTCGAGATCTAAAATCAGGGATACCACAAGACACAGATACCTAAAATAGGAACACAGAAATTTGTGGTATTAGTTTTTGTTGGAAATTTGTTTTGTACATGTAGATGGAGGAGCAAGGGTGGCACCATGGTGAGAGCACTCGCCTCCCACCACCTTGACCGGTTCAAATCCTGGCGTCGAGGCCATTTATGGTTTGAGTTTGTTGTTGGTTCTTTCCCTTGCTCCAAAGGTTTTTTTCAAATTCCAATTCGATCTGGAACACACAGACACAAGCAAAATAGTTCTCAAGAACTCCTAAGTGCTTGTGGGTAAACAAATTTAATTATTATAAATGAAGCCATAAAGAGCAGACATCCTGATTTAAATAATTTCATGTCCCTAAAATAGGAATTACAGTGAAACCTCTATTAAGCGGACACCTTCAGGACCTTCCGAAATGTCCGCTTAATAGAGGTTGTAAAAATTTCACAATGTTTGTTAACGATCAACATTCAATGGTTACTCTGTACTGTGATAAAGTTGCACGTTGTTAAAGAAGCTATCCAGAGTTCAAGTTCATTACCTTTCATTACAACTTTAATTTGTTTGTAAATGCAAAAACATTTTAACTGACTTCAGTCCGTATTTCAAGGATGTAATCCAATACTACTATTGTCAATTCAGTCCGGTGTCCACTTAATAGAGGTTTTTAACAATAGAAATTAGCCAAATACAACTTATTTTAGTGTCCGCGTCCGCTTAATAGAGGTGTCTGCTGAAAAGAGGTTCGGTATAAAGGGAAATATGAGACGTTAATTTTGGGACGCGGCTTAGTGTCCGCTTAAAAGAGGGTGTCCACTTAATTGGGGGTCCGCCTAATAGAGCTTTCACTGTATTATATTGATCTACTAGAAAAACGTAAAGTTATATTATTTATCATGTGCACTTTGTGCACATTCATTCCAACAAGGTTTGTTAATGAAGACAAATCTCAGATAACATACCCCAGCCCCTGTGAGAACAATAACGTTCTTTGATCCTCGAAGAAGCTCCACAACATCATCCAGGAAGTTGATGTGGTCCAGTTTTTGTCTTGGGGTGGGCTCTGTAAGGATATCAATGATGACTTTCCACAAGGTTCCCTTGTCCAAGGCAGGAGGCTGCAAAGCAATTTAAACTTGGGTACCAAATTAAATAAATATGAATGACATACTTGTTTACACCAAGTTTATATTTTTTCTACTGCATCCACTTGTAAAATACTATGCAAATGAATAAAAACCAAATAATGTAGGCAACTACATGTAAACTTAACTAGGCTTGAAATTTTAGGTCGCTTAACGTAAAAGCTTAATTTAATTTACTTAACTTTTTAACAGACAACAAAATACAAGATGTTGTCAGGATACCTCAACAGTCAATAAGATCTTACTGACAGAAGGGAAACAGTCCATTTTGTTTACTCGATACTCACTGATGCTCACCTCGGAGAATTAAAACAAATTATAAAATAGTTCTTTTTGTCATGACTGTGAAAACAAATTTTGTTGATATTTTCATTGGTTTCAAGATGCCTGAGCTGATTGAGTGGAAGTAAGTTTGTTCACCATTAAAAGTCAAGGAGTTATGTTCCATGGAACATAATAAATTCTTGTCCAATTAACTGGAATACATGCTTGAGTTGGGAGAAAACCATAACAGTGCCAATATTATAGCAGGTTCAATATTATTGAATTTGAAAAATTAAAAATCATTATAATTTTTCAATTTTTTATAAAAAATATTATCAAAACACAAAATGCTTATACAGCTATAATTAAATGTATCTAACCCATTCGCCCGTGGAAATTTTGCCAAAAATGCGTTTTGAAGATATTTGAGTGGTTTTCTGGTCACTGCCATACTATAAAGAGCTCAAACTCACCAGAAAGCCATTTCAAGGTCATACACTACACGGCCTTCTGATCCAGATGCAAATTAATATTAGCTTGGGAAGTTCGGGCATGTGCAGAAAGCAAAATTATGACATATTTTTTGGGTTTACAAGCAACACAGCAGTCTTGACTTTTACTTTTAGCTTTCTCTCCTACTCTCTTTTCTCGCTTTTTCTTGCCTCATTTTTTTTCTTTTGCTGGGCATTTTTAAACAGACTTCATTTTGGTGGGAAAAGTTTTTGGGAAAGCTTTTAGGATCTTAGGATTAGATGAAAGGAAAGGTAGATGACTAGTGGAAAAAGATTTTCATGAAAGTTTTCAGGTCAATGTTACAAGATTTTCTACCTTTTTCTCCACTATCCTCGACTGAATTGTGTTCATTCTGGTACAGTTTGAAAGATCTCTTCACTCTGCACAAGTTAGTGGACATAGTTGTCCTTGACCATTAAAACTGATGATGTCACAACAAAAGAAGGGACGTGGATCCGCACAGGCAGTTACGGGCAGTTCGGGGGCGAATGGGTCAAACTGCATATTACATATACAGCATTAGTAATCTACTAATCCTGTCTTACCAGCTGGGTATGGGGTAGCATATAAGCCAAAATATCTTCAGGATTAATACCAAGAGTCATCTGACGCTGGATCCAGCCCATGGGACCTTGAAGTAAACAAATTTCCCAAAGGTAAGTTGAAAGACAAGTGTTTTTCAAAAAGGGAAACACAAACAATAGAATATGATTATAGTATTAATTATCTGATTAGGCGCCCTGGGCACTTATTAAACTTTTGGGCCTTGAGAGTGGGCGCTTATTTTAGGTGGGCACTTTTTCAAGCCTGGGTGCTTTTAAATTTCCATTATTCTGGGCAACAAAGCAGTGAACAATAACAAAAGTGAAGATGTGTCAGAGCAGAATTTTAACTGTTCATTGAAAGCTTTTTTCTTTAAATAAAAATACTACCAAACTCGGTCCTCCAGGAAATCTCTTAGTAGCACTGTCCCTTGTCAATTTCTATCTCATTGTGAGAAAGACCATTAAGTGAACCATCTGGTGTTGCCTCGTAGATGTCTCACAGCATTACATCTACAAATGGGTCATACGAGGAGAAGCAGATAGGGCAGTAAAGAAACAACAACCAACTCTTCTTGTCCACTTTAGGTTTTATTGTTGTTGTTGTGGGGGGTAGGGAGGGTTGTGGGTGGGGGTGGGCGCCTATTCAAGGCTGGGCGCTTATTAAATTTTCCTCCCAACAGGATGGGCAGTTATTCGAGGTGGGTGCTAATTTGAGGTACTTGGGCACTTAATCGAATAAATACCGGTACAGTAGTTGTACAGTTTAATTTTGGTTTGTTAAAGCACTCTAATCTCTTGTTGCCCTAAATGTGAAATATGTTTTCAGTATTCAAGTTTTCAACATTTTCTGATGGTGCATGCCCCTTGAGCCCCTCCAAAGGGGTGGGTCTTTCCTGCTGGCTACGTTACAGAAGCCTCCGTCTACTTCAAAACTTCAAAAGAAAAACCTGCACTTAGTGAAAGTTGATAAGGGCTATTATCATATAAACACCAATGAAATACCAGGTGAGCTTTCGCGCGAAAAATTGATATCTTCACATGTGAGAATATCACCGTTGCTATGGCTATATAATAAATTGCGCCTTTCACACCAAAAAACTATCAAAGTGAAATGGTTTGGTAGTTCATTGGTGTTTACATAATAAATAGAACGTTACATGGCTGCTTGGAGATACGAAATTTCTCTTCTCGTGTTGAAAAAATATTTCACTCGTTCGCTACACTCACTCGGGAAATATTTTTCAACACTCGAAGAGAAATTTCATATCTCCGCACGGCCATGTAATATCCTCTGTTTATGAGGCAATTATATTGTAGGTAAAATCTGTTCTCAGGATAACCCAGAATTCATCCAACTTTTATCCTTTTCCTTGTCCTCGCCCTGATAAATTATTCATACATGTAGGAGACAAAGAAATGCTGATTTTTTTTAACCTGAAAAATGAATTTTACCCATGTAAAACATTTGCATATATTTATTTGAGATCTTTTTATGAGTGTAAAAATAACAGTCTCCAAAAAGGTTGCTGTTTTTTTTCCCTGCATGAATTCTGCAGAGGAGTATATGGGACCTTGCATGAAGAATTATGGAGGGGGAGGGGTGGTTGTAGTCTGCTACACAGCCACTTTTAGTGTCGTCATGCAACGCTCCTCCCCACAAACAGCTTCTGAGAATTGAACCACATTCCTTTCCTGCAGTTAACCAATTAGAATCCAGCTTCCGTTTTCTGGAAGGTGTTTGCGCCACGTTTGCAGGGCAGCTTTGCCTCTATTGGTGCCCCATGTGTGAATGACAGAACAATCAAAATCTTCCCGTGAAAACAAGTAACCAACTAGAGTAGTGTTGTCATAGTCAAGTCCTAGTCAAAATTTATGAGATCCTGGTAAGAGTCTTGTGGGCCTATCAAACTTTTTTTTTCACTTGGACCTTTGCTAACCGCTTAAAACAAACTTTTCTGCAAACTAACCTTTTTGTTGCTTGCAGACTCACAGCCCACCCAAATTTAGCGACGATTGATTGATTTGTCGAAAATTGAGAAGCATTTTCCCTTCCTAGTGCCCTGCAGTTCATGTATTGTCAGGTTCTTATCCATGATTGGTTTGTTCTTTAGACCACAAATACAAAGTGAAAGGAGTGTGGTTCGATTCTCAGCAGCCGCTTGTGGGGAGGCAAGTTGCATGAAGACACTAAAAATGGCTGAGTAGCAGACTAGAGTGGTTGGGTGTGTACTTCATGTTGTGGCTGGCCTGGTTATTATGTTTAGATATCGTTGCACAACACCTTTTCTTTGATAGAAAATATGGTATTTGAAGGGAATTAAGCTAGAAGGGATAAAGTTCAGCCATAAAATTGTCATTGTTCACCTTAAAACAATTTAAAACAAAATGGCGGACACCCGATAGTAGTAAATGCTAACATTCATAGTGATTTCAGGGCACAAAATTTCTTATTACCTGCTATTGGTTGAAAATGGTGTTCATCTATATCATCTAAGTCGTCTTCGACGCTAAAACAGGTCGGGAAATCGTCGCTTTCGAGTCTATCCGATGATACATGGACGCCATGTTGTTCACGTAATTCTATTTCCGACGGTTGACTTTCGACCAAATAATTTTGTTCAGACTCAATTAGACGTAAAAGAGAACCCTCGTTTGATTCTCTTTGATCTATAGTGTCTACAAAGCTAGTATTCTGATCGCAAGAACTCTCTGATGACCAACGAGCTCGCTTTGAAGTAGTGAATTCTTGTTCTTCCTGATCCGCCATCTTGGAATCGTGACTAGTTTCAGGTTCCTTTCTAAAGACGAAGCTTTGACTACCCGACCCAGTCCTTCCCGTTCTTTGTGAAAAGAACATCGCTCGTAGGCGGCGTACTCTCACTAAAAATTGACAGATTAAAAAAAGTTTGCTCGCAAACAGCAAAGTTGGAAAAGACTTTCCTAAGGAGCAATTTAAGAGAAATACTGTTGCTCGCCTCCTTGCATCTCTTTGCGGAGTATTTGTCTAGATTTAAAACATCCACTAGCCTAGGCCGGTAGATGGGCGGTGTGCGATAAACGCAGACTGCAGCTTGCAGACTGGCAGGTAAACGAGGTAAACATTGTTGTGAAATGTCTAACAGATTCCCTACCCCTAAACTACCCTTTAGAAGACCTAAAGTTAGGGATAGGGAATCTGTTATGTTAAAGCATTTCACATACCGGAAAATGGGACACATTCACAGTCCCATTGAAAGTGGACACGCCTTTTTGAAGAAAATCGCGTCCAGTGAAAAATTTTGCTGTTATTATGGATTGCTACTTTTGGCGATTTTCTTTAGAGGTAGGGTCCACTTACACTCTCCCCCCCCGGGATAGCCTCTTACGCAGACGTTCTCGTGGGAGGCTACCCCGAGAAGGGTACTTCCTTGATAGGAACAAAACTGAATGCAATCAGCTGGCAACAGAATAGGGCTGATTTATTTATTAAAGGCCAATATATCGGCTTACAAAATTAGCCTTCCTTAAGCTCAGAGCTACATTGATAGAAACTACTATAACGGCCGTTATACAGTCGACTCTGTCTTAACAGACACCTTTTTAAAACGGACACCTAGAATTGGCCCATCCCTACCATTCCCTTTATTTGACTCTCTATACTTCGATAAGACGGACACTTCGTGCCAAAAGCGTCGTCTTGGAAGGAAATAGTGGCCTCAAATAAATCAGCCCTTTGCTTGCCAGCATTGCATTCAGTTTTGTTTTTTAATTTCCACTCAAGTGACGTATAGCTCTAGCATCTCTACATTAGAGACCCGACAAGAAGGAACCAGTCGGTGTCAAGCGTCGAGTGGAGTGGACCTCTGCATTCCAAGGCTACTAGTAATAGGGTAGTGGGGATACGCTGCTGGATGGGGTCGCATTTTTACGACTGAATTGACTATATAGTAGGGTTGCATTTTCAAAAGAGTTTCTAGAATGGGGTCGCAAATAGCTAAGATGGGGTCTATAATTGCTCACACAGTAGACTATAATGGGGTAGGGGTTCTGAGAGGCCATGGACGTATACCAAGAACAATTGACCCAAGTAGCTCCCACCCTAGTCTCCCTTGCAGCCGTCTTTTGGATGTCACGCAACGCTCCCGGCTGCAAGAGAGACTACTCCCACAAGGCCCTGGCTCATTACGTGTATATCAGATTAGATTCCGATTTTTTATTTTTTTGCACTATTTCAAGAGGTTACTACAAAACTTACAATACAATAAAATACATAAATCATCAAAGGTAAAATGTGCGCAGTGACCAAAGGAGTTAGTTTTTCGAGTTGGTCATTCACATGTGCAACTAACTGGCATAGACATTATACATAAGACTACGAGTAACGTACTCGTTGGGTATTTAAAAGGTACACTTTGTATTGCCTATAGGAGTTATTATAAGGGAGTTTTTTAATTTAGAGGTAATGTGTTTTGGATCCGAAGGGCCGACAAAAATTTTTGGGAGACCGGGCCCCCAATTTATCTAAGGGTCTGGACGACTGGTCCCCTCCTCCTTATCTCAGGGTCTGGATCTGGCACTGCAAACCCTCTCTTCAAAACGGTAACCGGTTGTTGTAAGAAGATGGTTGTTTGAATGAGAAAAGAGGGATGTAATATGGACGCTAATTTGGGGACAGTGCAGCCAAATTTGCCAAAATCCGGAAGCGTATCCTCCCTATAAAATCATGTTCACCAAGAGTCTCTAGTTGGCTAACAACCCAACTTGTTTTGGGAATGTGCCCATCTGCCCCTCCCTTAAGCGAACATTAACACTTACTTCTCAGTTAGGGCAAAATGTTGGCTTAGGGAAGGGGTAAGTGGGCAGTTTCCCAGAAACGTATAATGATCACTGTGACCATTAAGACCATACCAGGGACTGGTGCTGGGAAGGCTGTTGTTACCACTTTGTGATAAAGGAGTCCTTTTTACATTGATTGTGGTAACTGGTTGGAGAAGGTTTTCTTCTTCTGACAAGATATAGACAGTCCTGTATACAACTAACCCTCTTAAAGTCACCAGAGGAAGAAGATGTAAAGCACTGGATGAGTGGACTACAACCATAAACCCATTTCTTAAAAAACTGCAAAATCAATGAAAAAGAAGCTACAACATGCTGTGTAAAAGAATACATAGTTTAATGCTTAAACCAACAAGTTGGAACTTAATAAGTTTCCTATCCTCACAGATTTCTTTTATTTTCTTACTCGACACCACATGATGTAGCTAACTTCATAACACCGTCTTTCTCTTTAAGCCAGGCACGCAGTAATTCTCTTGGATGGTAAAAGTAACTAACTATATTGCCAGCACTTGCGTCAGAGGGATCAGAAGGTAGCCACTAGCCTGCATAGCTGGGGGGATTATTGTGCCCAAGGTGTTTTCTTGGCTGCAGAGCTAAGCAACTTGCTCCCAATCTTCACATGGTGCTGCCACCAAAAAACTACAGCACTTTCCTGCTAATCCTGCTAGCTACACAGGCTAAGTACCCACAAGCCCTTACCCAGTACAGTACAAAGGAAGCAAAATCTAAGGCCGCAAAGTCAATTGCTAAATTATCTGTTTATTCAATACAAATGTATTTCCACACGACAAAAAGACAATTTAGTAATTGCTCAATACTTATGTATTGCACTTGCAGGAATCTTCAGTATTATTACAGTTAAACATTATGAACAGCGAGGGTTTTCTTAGGGATGGCATTTCACCCATCAACTGCCAGTAACCAACTACACCACTGCCTCTTTAGACATTATTCATGTCTTTGTTGGACAACATGCAAACCGCATAACTGATACAAAACTGTGATAGTAAAAAAGTAGGTTTAAGCAATTACAACCTTCATATGATGACAACATCTAAACTCTCCTTAAATATTGATCTAATTATCTGACTAATGTTATCAACGAAACAAGTGCTTGTGATATACAAATGTATACTTGAAAATTATTTTAAACAACTGGCAAACAACACTCTCAAAAGAAGTGATTTAAGGAGAATTTGCATGTTGAAGAAGAGATTGAAAGTGATGACATATTTACCAGCAACTGCATTTATATGTATATATACAACAACACAAAAGTAAAAACAATCATTACTAACACGACAGCACATTAAGAGCAATCATTTAGGCCTACATTAATCAAGATCTGAATTGGATTTCAGGCACTTTTACAACAAAAGAGGAAAAACAGCTAACTATACATTCAGTACAATAAGTGCTCTTTCAAATCTTCATTAAGGCAGATGTCAACAACAAGTATAACCACTCAATCACAGCACATAAAAGGAACTTAACCTTGCAGAATGACAACACTGGAAATTACCTTTTACATAGTCTTAAAGAGTTGCAAGACTTCACGGAGCCTTGCCAAAGAAAAAATAACAGTTTTAGTCCTTAGATGTTCACATGGCATATTTCCGGGTCCATTCCCTTGCTGTCTCCCCATATTTTGTCCTGTCTGTCTTATAAATGCGTGCTATGTCTGGCACCAATGGATCATCAGGATTTGGATCAGTAAGCAATGAACATATTGACAAAAGAACTAAAAGAGAAAAGGAAAACATAACATTATACTTTTCTAGTATGATGGAACTTCTAAATAATGAAGTCCTTGATATAACAATTCTCTTTACCCCAGTAATAGTAAGATATATAGAAAAAACCTTGATATAGCGAAACCTTGTTTTAGCAAACAAATTTTGTCAGTCCCTTGGCTCTTCATTATACATGTAACCAGGTTTCACTGTAACATAGTGGAGTACTTGTTTGTGAAATCACAAGAATAGCATGAATAGATTTTGTCTTTATCTATTATAGTCATGCAAGTAAAGCTTGTTGTTATTGTTGTTGTTGTTGTTATATGGCTCGTGATAGAGACTTCCAGACAGTGCACCAAACTCAAGCAGTGCCACCCAATATTACTAAGAAAATCACAGGTCACATTCCTAACAATCGGGACATTACTGGTTTATTTAGGAATGAATGGCATTCAAGAATCAGAACAATTCTTAAATAATTTAAGAAAAAACTCAACCAGGGCCACTGTGAACACCAATTATTGGTGTTAACAGTGGCCCTGGTTGAGTTTGTTGCACCATCAAAATGTGAATCATGCTGGCCAACAACAGGAGTATCTGTCCTTGTAACCAATGTTCAAAAAAACCAAACAGCAAAACTCGTAAGCAAACAACAGAAACTGAAAAACTACTTTTCTTATCATAAACCAAAAACAGAACATTCTTAAAAGGAAAAGCTATCGCCCCAACAGGACACTAAAGCCGAAAAACAGCCATATTTACGAGTAAAACCCACAAAACAGATTTTCAATGTGGCTTAAAACAGATAATGCAAATGTCAATATTACAGTGTATAGAATGAAAATGCTTCATTGGTGAGTTTGTGAAATCACTGTCTCAACTATTCCCTACAAAACCTTTGATTTTAGCCCTTCTAAGGCCACTTGTGGTGAAAACAAATTAAAAAAAGCAAACCATCCCTCTTTCACATGCTTCTCAACTTTCAAGGTTAAGAACAAGGTATCAAACAATTCGTGCTCACTTATATGTCACTTGTACAGGCCATCTGATAGGGTGCGATAAAAAATCAGAAAGTGTGCGATATTTTTAGGGTAGATTGTACAATAAGACAGAACTATTACGTGATAAATTATGCGACTAATTTACATTTTTTACCAGGGTTAGTTTACATTTTTTACCAGGTTTCAAAAGAAAAAAAACACTTAAACGTTCTTTAACAGGCAATTTGAATGAAAAGGAATAAGAAAATATCTATTTTACAACAAAAAAGTTAAATTTGTCTGAATATTTTGACCCGGAAAAGGAAAGGGACACTTGTTTAATTTTTCACTGACTTCTTCCCTCACATCCTCCTCAATCATTTTTTTTTTCGTCCTTGTTACAGCTTTCACACTGCTGAATCTCTTACTTACAAAAAACTGCCAGCTATGCAGGCTATATTTCCTCATATACTGTATCTTGGCCCTTAGAGTGCAATTTGTATGTGTACCATGGGAAAATGTACCATTGCAGCCCTAATATGGGTAAATGTGTAACATACCTTTAGAAATTGTTAGTGCAGGACTCCACTGTGATCGCAGAATGTCAAGACAAATACTTCCATTACTGTTTATGTTAGGATGATATATTTTGGTAGTAAATGAAACCTAAAATTCAGAAAGAAATAACACAAATCATTTCAAATATCATTTTTACTCAAGACTACTCTATACAAAAGGAAAATTTCTAAAACTTTACAGTAGTAGTAATAACCAAAGGTTACGGAGTGCAGGTGACAATGATCGAAGGTCAAAACGTTTTTCTCCATTGCTGCGCTCTGCATATGTTTAACGTGACAGATAGTCAAAACAAGGCTGATCAGATTATGAGTGATTGAATGATCAAACTGCATTCTGTGCATTCTGTTCATTCTTGGAAGTCCAAACAATTGCTGGCTCCTCTTGTCTGCTGCAATTAAGCACTGCCTCGGACACCTTATGAGCTGAAGAATGCTGGTCAATGACCTCATTCTTTCAAGCTGTATCAACAAAAATCCTGAGGAAATTGACTTCAGACCAAAGAGGTGCCTTACAGCTGTAACAAGGCCTCGCAGGAAGAAGTGACTGAACAAAGTTAACAATGTATGGTTCATACATGTACAACTTTAGACAAACAAATTTCAAGGATTTTTTAAGGACAAATTACAGTTTTCAAGAACTAAGATTTATTTAATAAATTCGCATTCTTCTTTGATCACCCTATGAGCTAAAACATGTCATGGAGTGTCCTCGCTCCTCAACACTTGGGATTTTTCACCAGTAGAGATGTCTGCGTCTCAGCGACAGAAATTCCTTACTGATGACGTAAAATCTGTCTGGAATCTGGTCAGGAGCTCTGATTGGTCGATGCAGTAGTTATATTATTTTAGCCATAGTTTACGAATGACAGACAAAAGATGAGGCCACAAAGGTCAAATGTAAACGCAATGAATCTAATAATAACAAAACAGTCAATATTTGTGGACTATATTTCCCTCTAGAAGAAGCATTTGAGCTTTGCTGGAGCTCGTTCGCAGATGGACACAAAACTTTACCAAAATCGACCAGCAGAAAGATAAAATTGAACAAATTTGCATCTGGAATCCAATGACTAACAGATTAATTATGTTAACATTGATTTACATCATCAGCATGGAATTTCTGTCAATGAGACAGCAAGGGGTGAGGAGAAACAACTGTTTTCGCAGGCTAGGTTTTAGACTTTTCATTCTGACATTATAGTGCATGAGGAAAGTACAAGCGGTACTTGTATAAACTTTCTGGTCACCTCGTGAACAGGCTGTTTTGATTTTCACCTTATTGGTTAGTGAAACCAATGCATGCGTGCAATGCAACAGGAAAAAGTTGTCTTTGCTTATGGTGTATGTTTACTATGTAAGTTCATTAGCAGGGAACAGACGGCAAACATCAAAACCATTCTTCAGTAGGATGCCATGAAACAATAAGACTGGTGCATTTCTAAATGCATTCATTGTTATCAGCGATTATCGTATGACCTTGAAAAATAGTTCCTGTAAGTGTTGGTTATTTGTTTTATCAGCCAATGGATGAAAAGATTAAAACATGGACTCTTCATTTTCCTGCCAAAGAAAACCCTAATATGGAGAAGGAATTGTTCAATTGGCCAATCGTGTTGCAGCATGACCTCAAAGCAAAGTATTGATTGTTTTCTAAAAAGTTCTCGGGCATGAAGTTTTTTCACCCGAGCATTCGCTTAACCAAGCAAAAGCCACGTGCGTTTGACCTGTTCAATAAACGAATCAAAACGCTCTATTTCCATTCATTTGTTGTTTCTGTTTTGTTCGCACATTTTCATTTTAAAATCATACGAAAATCACTCTATCAAGTTTATTCCTTTCAATGAATGGTTAGTATTCAAAAGAAGCTCCACTTTTAAGCTTAATTGAACCTTTATATGAGAGGAATTTCCCCAATTTCAGGACAAGTAGTTTTTGGCCTTAGGCAAGTTACTTTCCTGGCTAGCTTGCCCAAGGGGCAAGGGAATGGACAAGCTGCCACCTTTAATGGGTTCAAGAAAGCTTGTGAAAAAGAAATTAATTCATTTTTGTGCCATTGTTCCTAAAATGAACAAAACATTTTGGGCTGGTTATCTAAACAGAGTTTAACCAGGGTTTTAAAAAACAGGGTTCTAAGTCATTTTAAGTTTTTGGCCCAAGGCTTTTATCTAAGCACCATTTGTTGTGAACAGTTTCACTAAAGCATATAATGTAGACTAGAAAAGCATTTATCTTCTTAGATTGACCACTATAAAGAAGAAAAGATTTCTTAAACCCCGGTCTAATTTAGTCTTCGTTTAAATAACCGGCCCTTTCTGTTTGCAATATAAGTGCCTGCAACTGAAATGAAAGTAAAGGTGATGATGACTGCCAAAGGTGTGTTACTCTAAGAAGCAATCAAAAACAAGGTATTTCCATCAATTTTTAAAAATATTGCACTACATGCATGCACTATAAGTATACAAAGCAGAAATTACCAGTGAACTACATGGAAAAAAGGCACATGCAACTTAAGTTCTATTCAATGACTCAATTTTCTTAATGATTCATGATGAGGGTTTCTTCCTGAAAGTCGGTGGACTGGACTCGAAAGTGTTAATGTTGGAATACCTCGGTGCTTAGAGCTACTGATCGTAAACATCAAGACAATCATTTCTAAGTATTTCAAAGAAAACTTTTCAATTACTCAGTCAAGTGTTGATGAAATGAAGATCATTTTTTTCTTGGAAAGGTACAAAAAGGGCAGAGGAACTCATAAACTGATGCGAACTGATCAAAATCTTCCAGGTCATATTATAGCGTGGTCCATGTGGTTTTTAAACTCATTGTATTTTTTTCATGTTGCGGCACATTAAGCCTACGTTTTGTCGATCAGTTTCCCCAATTTTAATGCAATATTTTCCTTTCAAACTTCGACGCAAATAGTAACTGTGACTTTGACAAAAGTTGGTTGTGGCCTTGACAAAAGCTGATCAGAGGAATCCTCAATCAATGTAGTGGGAAAGCGAGAAAATGACCCAGGCAAGTGAAACTGAAAACCTACTTACCCGAAGGGCAACCTTTTTCAAAAACACCATAATACCCTTTGTTTTCCTTTCAAAATTTTGCATAACTACTCCTACAATTTCTCTTAGGGGTGATTGTAAGTTCCAAGAAAAATTGAAAATAATTATACAAAATTTTGGAAGGAAAACAAACAGTATTATGGTATTTTCAAAAAAGGCCTCTTTATACTTTGCACTGGATAAGCATTAATAAAACCAATAGCACTTTTAGCTTTTAGTTCCTGTCACACTACAATGTGGGCAATAATTTTTATTCTACTGTAACTTGTCTCACCATTTGATTGTGACAAAAGTTCCAAGTAAAATTGCCCAGTGCATCACCTACTGGCATGAACATGGTTTGCAATACTTTTGTGTCACATAAAGATTAACGCACTTCAGGGGGTGTTACACAAGGCGATGTCTTTATTTGAGCGACTTGTTTTGCAATGGTAGAGCGAAAAAAGTTGTATATTCCCTTTTTGAACAACCAAACCAACAATGCTTAACATGGTACATAAATGCCAATGAATGCAAATCATAGACAGCATGTCCAAGAAAATTTCAATAAATTACTCAATTCAGTGATAGAATACTAATCGAGATGGTAGAGCAAACTTTCTAAGTGAAAATTACAACTTATGCAACAGCAAAGCTGACATCAAAACATCTGATAACATTGTACAATTCCTTTATTTTATAGAGGACATTACTTCACCACAATGGCTTCGACAACTTTTCACGTTTCGCCGTGTTGTGAATATGCAAAAGTCAGTTAGAAAGGTAGCCTTGAAAAGATCGATTGGGAAATATCACTGATGATACCACTGGTGTATGATCATTTCATTATAACATTTTGAAACCTTAGTATAAACGGTTTGCGTCGATTATAATAAGGAAGGCCAGCTCACTAATCAACAACAAGCAAATCAATACTGGCTATATTCCTGAGGGGACCACGAAATGTGTACATTACGAAAACTAGTAAGTACAGTCTTTGAACGTCTCACGTTGAAACAAAACGAACGTTTGACACTTACCGACTGCTACACAAAATGAAGAAGCAGTTATGCTTATCAAAGCACTTTTTTCACATTTATGGAGTTGAATGAGACAAACACAAAGCAAAGGATCGATCGCAGTTAAGTGGAAACCGGAAGAACAGTAGGCTGAAACACAGAGTAGAAGTTCACGTACGTGATAGATTCACTACTTTCTGCACGTCTTATACTCTGCCATACTTTGCCCACAACACAACAGAGGTTACAAAATAATCTTAACTGCATAAATGTTAGTCTAAACTAATATTTTAGGCGCCTACCTTTGGAGGTTTGAATGGATAATCTGTTGGAAAGTGTATCGTAAGGAAGAATACACCACCTTGGTAAGGGCTGTCGGGCTGTTCGCGAGGAAACAACGAAATACAGAAATTAACACAAACTTTGTGCAATAGCATTATGAAACAATTTATTAAGAATGTTTCTGTGAATTTTCAGTTTTAAAAGAAGTAAGCATTCCTTACCGGCCCCATGATAGTCGCTTGCCAATGAAATACTTCAAAGTACACGCGATGTCAAAGGAGAAAAAGAAAAGGCATTTTTATGAGCAGAGCACACAAATAATCAGTCTAGATACAAGAGTCATATTTAAACATCAAGACTAATGGGCAAAGTTACATGTAAAGGCAAGATTAGTTTGACTACAAAAGGTTTTCTTTGAACTCAATCAAATACAACATATTCATATTTCGCTTACAGTCCTCGCCAACCGGTCCGGCTGAACACTGTGCTGGCGGATCCCTTCCAAGATCTTGAAGTTCCTGAAATATCAAAATAAAGATGAAAAATCAATTTGAAAATTTAAAGGATTAACTAATAAAGAGATATGTAAAGTTTACAGAGAGCTAAAATACTCTTGACAACCACAACGAAAAAAATGGCACCTTGGCCGGCCCATCCGTACAGTTTTCGTCGTAAGAGTTACCGTGTAGCAAACCGTTCACTAAATACCTTCAAACCTTCGAAAAAAGGGCTCTGTTATACCCTCGATCCTTACCTTATTGATCCTTTTTAATGCCATCCCCTCTGCAAGCTATTATGCCGTTAAAAAACTCTACAAGAAGACAAATTTTCACTGTGATGAAGATCCCAAACTTCCTGTTCATGGAGACCAATGCAAGGCAAAACGTGTGTGCTATTTGTTCTGCTATTGGCTTAAACAGATCACATGATCTGCTAGTTCCCAGATTTCCTTGGGTGTTGGTCTTTCTTCAAAGTCAGCTTTGTACCAAGGTTGGCACATCACTTTTACCATCGGCAATGAAAGAAACTTGCTATAAATGTACCTCTGGGAGCAAGAAAGTATTTTTATTCAATTCTACATAAGACGATCCGCGAACTATGCAAAAGTAAATATCAGCGAAATATCAAAAGCATTTGATATGATACACCGCACAATTGTAGGTAGGCGGCCTAACAATGGTCTTTGGTTAGGTTTCCTGGTCTTTTCATCATATCGTCGGGTGGCGAAATCAGAAAATGGAAAAAAGTAACAACACTCAGAGGAAAAATCAGATAAAAATAACGGCGCTACTCATAATTTTGTCTTCAGTGGCAAATCCAGAATTTGAGTAAAGACTGGCTGGATCACAAGACACTCACAAGGATTAGCCTGCGGTCAGGCTCACTCGGCGTGCGAGTTTCCTCGCGCGGTGAGGGCTCCACCGCCAAACTTTTCCTCGAACTTGCACAGATGAGCCTGCTCGCGGGCTACACAAGGAATGAAGAACTGAAATAATTCTTCCTCAGTATTGTGGTCCTGTGTTAAGTTAGCCTGTTAAAGGTTCTTAGAAAAAAGGCGTGACGCGTAAGTGAAAGGCAGGCGAAAATATGGCGAGAAAAAGGAAGGGAGAGAGAAAAACGCACCTTTCCTCTCCCCAGTTTCGTCCCGTTTTATTCTGCTGCGCTGGCCCGACTATCTCGGAGTCTGGAACAGGAGACCACAAGACCACAAGACAACAACTGAGGTTCAACTGAGGCTCCTCCCCTGGATACGTCACTGAGAGGTACTTGACGACTTTTTGACGTGTATCGAATCGTTCGATAATAGTGGCTCCTGATTGAATAGAAATATAAATAAACCGGAGTATATGAATATATAAAAAGTAAACGGAAGTATAAAATAGGAAAAAGAAAGAATGAGATATCCGTGATAGCCTGCGAGCAAGCTCTCCTATTTGGCCGAGCGAAACGAGCGAGCGAGCAGCGAAGCCGCGAGGGGCAGTCGCGTCTCCTCTCGCGTGCCTCTCGCGCGTGTACTTTTCACGATATCCCCCAAATGGATAGTCTGCTACACAGCCGTTTTTAGTGTCGTGGGGAGGAGCGCTGCGTGACGACACTAAAAACGGCTGTGTAGCAGACTACCAAATGGAGAGCTTGCTCGCAGGCTATATCAGTGAGTGTTCCATTATTCTTCCTTGGCAGATCTTGGTGAACTCATTGATGGTGTGAACTGGATTTAGGATCATGATCTCATGTTGTGATCCGGGAGGCAAAGGAAACGCTGGATTATGTGGTGATTCAAGTTTGGCCTTTGGGCCGGCATTACAACGTTCATCTTTGAGTAATTCCTCAAATTTAATTATTTGTTTCTACCGCCTTGCTCACATCCTAAGAGCTTACCCGAGGCATTCTTTCTGCTACCACCAGTTACAGAGATAGATTCAGGGTTTTTAAGAGGGGCCGGTGTAGACTAGGAGTAGTTTCACTTTTTTAGACGGTCCAGCTGAATTTAGTCGGTCTCGCTGAAAACGAGACTGCTCGCAATGTAGAGACTTGAGAGCCAGGTGGTGCGGAGTCGAGTGTTCTGATACCATTCCTGGCTATGAAATTATGCATAGAATGGGTTCCTGGCATAAATAAAGATTAAAATATCGTACACTGTACTTCGTTTGGCTGTTATTACTTTTCTTTTCAGCTAGAAACAAAGCCATCAATGTAAAACACCTGTCCAAGGTAACTGCTGCTATTTTCTGTAATTATCTATTTTTTTAAGAAAGGGGTGGGCTTTTTCCCAGGCCTAATGGCTACAATCTTGGACCAAAAAATAGGGAAAGAAACCCCCTCCCCCACCACCACCACCCCTCCCCCCGAAATCGCGGATGAAGTAGGGCGAGGGCCAGAGCGTACCATTTTCCCATCCTTGTCCAAGGAGAGTTACCCTGTGAGCGCAGAGGTTTCTTTCTGGCATGTCCTTTAGCATTTGTGAAATCTTTTGCACCTCTACTTGCATGGTACTGGAGAGTGGACCAAGGGATGGGCGGTATTGATTCTCAGTATGCACTAGTCAGCGGAAAGCCCCGCATGCACCCCTCAGTACCCGGGGAATAGCGGGGCATTAGACCAGGCCTGCCTTCTAAACGAAGCAAATTCCCCGCTATGCGGAGCAATTTCGTACGTCAAAACGTCACTTTTGTTCCCAGCACCCGGGGCAATACAGTACTTTTTTCCTCGAATTGGACTTTTACAAATAGTAAAGTCAACAGAGCAGTACATAGCCTCAAGTGTAAAATTGAATGATAATCTATCGTGAGTTACAGAATTGGCAGTCCGAAGTTCAAAATCTCTCTAAGCGATTATGGTTATATGAGCCCTCCAGAAGTATGCGCCCTGACCCAGAACAATATTCATGTCATTTCCTGTAAGAAGCAAGGTTATGTTTTACGGCTTCTGTTAAGGCCTGCTAATGGTCTCCGCTCAGGCGCTGATACTTGTGTCTAATACTGTCAAAAACCCCGCACACTGTGGCAAAAGTGACCACAGGACACCCGGAATCACAACAGTCTACTGGAAGCCAAATTATAAGGATTTGTACGGGAATTTATCGTAAGATCGATAAAACGGTTAAAATGTGCATAAACAGCTATTAAAGTGTGCATACCTCATAAAGAGTTTTGTCTGTGTTGTTTTCTTACTGTTTCCCACAAGCTGAGAAACCAAAACATTAAAACTTGCTAAAATGGCGTTTATAGGGCAGGAAACAATAATAATAGCTGTTAGTTTTACCGACCTTACGATAAATTTTTTCCCATACAAAGCCTTATAATCCCGGGGGGGGGTACTTTAGGATTTTCTGGGTGGGGGTGTGCCGCTGGGACCCTGGAACCCTTAACCTATACTAGAGCTAGTTCAGCTGAATTTTGCTACCCTATACTAGAGTAAACTCCCCAACCCCCCCCCCCCATCCTAGAGTAGCTGTTTTCCAGAAACTACTGAGGTCACTAGCACAGTCAAGCCAAAACAGAACCTTATGCCACAATCGTTTCGCTCTCAAAGAAGGATTTATTTATACTTGTTCAGTTTTTTTTTTTCATCAAGTCCTAAATTTCAGGTTAACCTGATTGAATAAAGAACCATCATGAGTGTTGCTTTTCGGGTGCAACAGCAAAAAAACTCGACTTTCTAAATAACCTCTACTGGTACAGCCGAAACAACAACGTATTTTATATACAAACTCTGTAAGTACTATATTACAACGGTGCAACGTATTCACTTCAGATATTCAAAACACCTTCTCTACACAAGCATATTACTGATAACAAAACAGAAAACTAGAAGAACTACAGGAAAATTCTGAAGGTGAACTAGGTACTTTAAACTTTACAACGCCAGTTCTGGATTCTAGACCCTATTCTAGACCCAAATGCTCTGATTTATATACCCTATCCTAGAGCAAACTGCTTGAAAACCATACCCTTCACAGCGGCACATACCTATATAGCCCATATATGGGAGTACCCCCCCCCCCGGGCTTATAATTTGGCCTCCAGTAGGACTGTTGTAAGTCTGGGACCCCTGTGAAGTGAAAGTCTAAAATCGCTTTAATCTCGCGCTATTGCCCAGCATTCCCCTGGTATGGGGAGGGTGGTGCGGGGCTTTCCGCCGATTAGTGCATTATGTCCAAGATTCGAGCCACTTCTCACTAAATCCCCAACCCCCCTCCCCACTAAAAAAACATACAGCTAGAATCCGTCTCTGATCTGAGCGAGTATCAGAACCAAGTCGTGTCAAGTGGCAATTCAAGATACAACGCCAGCTCCGCAAGACGTACGACTCAGTCTTACTCGTTTTTAAAATTGCGTTCGACGAAGGAAAACGCTTACTTTTCGAGCCACGCGGGAGATCACGCGGGCCTGAGCGTTCTGATGCCATGTGATTTCAAGCGGTTTGGGCGCCATCTTGGATTGGCTGGCTGGCTGGCTCATTTTGCCTCGATCTCATGTGTTCAGTTTTTCTCGCCCGTGAACTGGTATAGTATCTATCTTGTGACAATTTCTAGCTCACGGATGAAACATTGGCGAGTTTTTTGCCTAGTCCCTGTACGGCTTTTCCCCAGTCCCTCTCGGTCAATTCATTCGGTCACGTATCCGAGGCGAACGGGCGGCAAACACCTAGACAAAAACAGAACGCGCATTCAAGATGTTGATGTTATAAGCAGCAGAAAGAGATGTTTTCTTTTTTACTCTTGTCGATTTTTGCGGGATTGACTTTTGCCGACTGGCTTTGAAAGTCATCAGAATGTTATTCATAGTCCTGTACGTGATAAGATTGATTCTGCTCTTTATCCTTCAATCTCATCATCCAACTGGGCTATCGAAGTTGCAGTTGGGTAGTACTTGCCCGGGACATTTTGGGCAGTCTTACACCAAGTACTACCCTTGCAGTTGTTGGATCACGTGACCCGAAACGCTTTCGCCGCTCGGAATAATGGGGCCTAGGGACTAGGCCAGGCGAGTTTGTGTTTGTTACAGGTTTGTTTATCGTTTTTCTCACAGTTTTTATTTAAGTGTATTTTTATAAGAAAAGCTCCATTCTAAGATAATCGGATATGTAGATATTATGTTAACAATATGTTCTGCACACTGTATTAGTTTTTTATCGATTCTAGCAAGATCAGCTGAGATCGACCATATTTAATTCTCTTACAAATTTAATACATCTTTCCGCTTTTAAAAGCTATATTTACAGCGTTGTTCTCACATTTTTGGTCACCATTTTTTAAAAATATTCAAGAAGTTGAAC